CTTCGACTCAGTTGTTCCCAACCTTTTTTTTATCATGGTACACTTCAATTAGAGAAAACCTTACAAAGCACCATACTTTTATTTTCTACTTAACTTCATTCGCAAACACCCCATTTATTGAAGACTTCTTAGACAGATATGCATCCTTTTAGTCAAACTGACTTAATGGTTTGATTTAATTGCCAGAAGGAAATTTTGATTGTATACTTGGAGTGCATTATAAAAGTAATGAAAACAGAGATCTCTCTCTTTTTTGTATTTTGATTTGCAGTTATATTACATAGGAATGGAAATTTGTGACTATACTTTTGGGGGTCTTGTGTATGTAGTGAGAGAGTATGATTTTGTTTTTGTTATAGTTGAGCTAGATATTCTGCAGTTTAAGGCATATAAATCGGTTTTTTTTTTCACGTTTTTATACTTAAAATATTTTAGGCACCTGGTTTGATTACATTTCTGATTGAAAACGAGTATCAGGATCAATTTTTTCTAATCTATCAAAGTAGGTAGCAGCCCCCATTCCCCCTTGTTTATTGCAGAAAATGGAGTAAGGAAAAATGTTGAAGAGTTGACCCCAATATTCCATTCAAGACTATTCAACACTGAGTGCCAATGTGTAATTACATTAAATTAATTTTATTCTGTAATGAGTCTGCAGGTACTCTACGCCAGCCGCCAGGTCTCCCTTGCAAACTATTTAATGCCATGCAACCCACAATACTTCCACGATCCTTTATCCTATAACTGCCCTGTAATCCATGATGCTTCTGCCATCATAGCCTGTACTGGACTATCACTTGCTTTTGATTTGTCATTTCACTGTATTTATTTTTACCCTAAACCTACAAACAGTTATAGGACTCCTTTATGTTATAACCTCTGTAGATCTAAAAATGTGTGACCACCAGTCTATTGCAAAGTCTGACATTTCTTTACCCTGATATACCCCATTAAATAGCTCTATCCCTATGCTTATTATTATTTTAACATAGTGTAACTCATCTTATACCTGCCCTACATCTATCGTTAACTGATTACATGAGGCCCACATCATCCTGACCTTGAACTTGTCATTGACCTTCCTGCCTGTCCTACATCCATAAAATATCATGCATTGCCCTATTAGACAATTTTCAATAGTATTCCAGTTCTTTATTAGCCTTTGCTTATCTACACAAGCCTACATATTTATTGTTCCAATATTGCATTACTACACATTATAAATCAACTATATTTTCCTGTTTACCTGATTCCGCATATCAATATGCTGTTACAAGACTGTCAACTTTGTAGCTGCCTACAACAGTACACTACACTACTCATACACTGCTCATCCTTTAAACATCCTACAATTATCGCCGACCAGTTAACTGCTGTATTGGTGCCACATGCTTATTACAGCACTGTTACAAATAAGAATTTATTTAGCAACCTCCCTTTTCTGATAATGACCACTGTTCTATTACTAGGCTTCTAACACTAATGTCCTTAGAATGTCTCATTATCATTGTATAGTATCTCTTGCTTTATAGCTGTCGGAAATGGCTCATTGATGTTTTACAGGATGTCTAAACATGAGAACAGTAGGAGGTACTCGGCAGTTTTAGTGTTATAAAAGCTGCAGGATTTAATCTGAGTGTTCAATGTGATCTAACATGGCTGGGAGACACAGTTATAATTTAAATATGCAGTAACAGAGGAGGGAGAGCCAGGGCAAAGTTATAGGGTTTACAATATGCACTGTGTCAGCAAAGAGTGAACCAGGACCGTTATAAGATTTATAATACAGGCGGTATCTGAGCAGCAAATATATACAACAGTTTTACGATTGATATGTATAGTATCAGGACAGTTATAAATTATATAATTTGTTCAATATCAGAGTAGCAAGAGATACAGTGCAATTACACAATGAATAATATGTGCTGTGCTAGAGCAGTGAAAGATACAAGAATCCCAGTTTCCGAGTAGAATGAGAGGTACAGGAAAGTTATAGGATACATAATATACACTGTGTCAAAGCAGAGAGAGATACCGTATAGTTACAAGGTATAAAACCTGCCCTGTGCAGTTTTAATTATGTTTATTTCCTCAGTGAGTTTATAAATCTTGATCATCTCACACAATCCAATGCTTCCCCATAGGGAGGAGCTGTGGAAATAAGTGTGCATGCACAGCAATTGCCACACTGTACCAATCAGCATCTCCATCGCCAATGCATCTCTACAGGGTGCGTTTGCGATTGGGCACCTGTTCTAAAGAAGGATAATGACACTAGAAAAAGTGCAAAAGTGCAAAAGCGCCTACAAAATTAATAAAGGGAATGGAAGATTGTAGTTATGAATTAAAGATAACAATTTGAAGCGTGTTTAGTTTAGAAAAAACACACCTCAAAGAGAATATGATAATATTATACAAATATATTCTGGGCCAATACAAACCATTGTCTGTAAATGTATTCATCCAGCAGGCATGAGCCAAGGGCAGGAGATACCTAACACTGCACTAATGGTAAACAAGGTAACTTTTTATTAATGATGTCATAGTATGACCTGTCAGATGACTTATGTGGTAGCTATGGCTTGGTGGTCTGCTTTGCACTTCTGTAAGAAGTAAGCAATAGATGCCGACCAGTTACAGGGTAATAAAACAGCAGATGTCACATAAAAAGGTGCTGGCTAGTTGTAGGTTTACCTATAAAGTAAAGTAATAGCATACTGAAGTGTGTTGAGTATACACGTAATAAGTCTGGTTATATAAGACATTCTATAACAGAACATTGAGAAACAGCAATGTTGTTTACAATTGTCAGAGGACATGACTAGTGGCTGTTTTCTCCATAAGAATTTTAAAAATCAAAGGTCAAACACGGCATGATACCGACAAACTATGTATATGCTTTTCACAGGATTCCATGCTTCTCTATGAGAAGCATCCCACTGTCACACATGCGTGATAAGTCCCAAAAGCTTTTTTGAACGAGCATTGTTTTGAACTAAAGTCATAAATACTGGTTGAGGAACCACTCCATGGAGACTGACACAGAACAAGAGTAAATTTATAGTGATTTTTATTTCAAAATCAAAACTAATAAGGAGCTAAAATGTAAATGAAAAAAAAAATCTATTTTTTTTTGGAACCAGAATGTTTTTTTTTTTTATATAGTATAGTACCAACAACCGCTCTTTTACATGATGTTGAGCCATCTAATAGCCTATTAGTAACTCTTGCCACTTTATTACGGGACCTTGTACCCTCTAATTGTCCAGTAACGTTATACCCTCTAATATATTATTATTTATAAAGTGCCAATGAATTCTGCAGCGCTGTACAATACCAATACTTTTAAATATATAACAAGACTTCTAACACTCAAACAGCCTAGTCTAGTTGCCTTCTAATCCGGCAAGAGAATATTGTAACAGGATATCCCACTTATTGTACTTGGAAGTATTTCTCACTGTTTTATTATAGAACGTCTTATATAAACAAACATTACCATTCCAGTGCTATTAACCTTATTACCAGTATACCCAACACACCTTACTGAGCTGTCAAAATACTTTAAAGTTAAACCTACAACCAGCCAGCACCCTTTAATGCGATTTCTGCGGTTTATTGCCCTGTAACTGGTCGGTACATTTCGCTACTCTGGTACCCAAGTGCAAAGCAGACCATCAAGCCATAGCTACCTCACATACACGTCATCTGACAGGTCATACTATGACACCACTAATAAAAAGTTACCTTGTTTACCATTAGAGCAGGGTTAAATATCCCTGCTTGCTAGAGGAATGAAGACTACTGTGGATGGCTGTCAGCCCTCACTCACACTCACCTTGATCTCATACACTTTAAGTCTCCGCCGCAGCGTCGCGTTCTCTCGCTCCAGAACACTCAGACGTTCTTTGATATCGCCGTATGCAGTAATGAGGGCGAAGTGCGATGCGGAGCACATGTCCCCAGACTGGTCAGTGTTTGGGCTGTCCACCCAGTCCTCCTCCTCTTCCTCCTCCTCCCCCTGGGCCAGTGTCTCCTGGGCGATGATGCTGATATCATCGCCGAACACGGAGTCCATGGGGGCGAGCAGGGCGAGGAGCCGGCCGGCTTGGATCCCTGTGCCCTGGGCGCCTGCTGCGGCCGGCAGTGTTCCTGCGGAGGCGGGGACGGCAGCTCTGGGCGCCCCGCGGATCTCAGCTTACTGCAAACACTTGTGAGGCTGTCCGGCCGGGCCACCCACCCCGTAGGGATCTATGGCACAGATGGAGACTGGAGGCCTGAGTCCAGCTTGGAGATGGAGCTGGGGTTATGGGCCGCACATACTGTCTCTCAGCAATGAATAGGATAGCGCACTGTGTCCCCCTTGGTATGTTATGCTGTGCCTGGTATTGTCCTGCTGTATCACCATGCACCCTCCTCCTCTTCCCAGAGCCCTCCTCCTCTCCTTTCCATTCAGTCTGCATACCCCGTGACACTGTGACATCAGTTCCTCTGAATCACCGGCTTAGGGATCCTAAAACCCAGGGTGCCCCCTTATCCAGACTGACAGGGGCATAATGTGCTGGGGGGTCTAGGTACACTGACTGCTAAATCCATCACCTGAGATACAGTATCCATTTACAATGGAACAGCCTGGAAAGTGCAATGTCTGCCGGTTGGAGCCTGTGAACGACATTTATACATCTATATAAATAAAACGCATCTCAGTCCTAGTATCTATTTATAAACATATAACCACAGCTATCTCTATACATGCGTGCAAAGCCTATATAGTATGGTGTGTGGGAGGTGATGTGGGGTGCTATCAACGGCCCCTTCCCCTAACTGCTATTTTAACTATAGAACTGGCTTAACTCAATATATGCCAGTCATCAAATTGGCTTTGACTGTATAATTGTCTTCTTTCTTTCTGTATACATATCCATTCTTTCTAAATCTATTTATTTCTTCTGTGTAACCCCCTCCATGACATAATTGTGACTTGCCTGTTGTGATGTAATGGGATTTTACTACTCTCCTGTTACAAATGGGTTAAATACATCAGTAACTCATCCACACACATTAAACAGAACAGCATTATGTAAAACGGTTAAGATGATTAATAATATTAGCTTTGAGCAACTTTGCAAGCAGTTCTTTTGCGCCTTGAAATGTTGCTGGATCAGTGTACCAAAGATGGATAATTTATTCTGCTTCCCACCCCATCTCTCTGGATAGGGAGGATGCAATGGTGAGTGTAGCTTCAGTGTACCAGTGACTCACACCTGCAGAGAGAAAGGACTACCTGACATCTGTCAGAACTTTAAGGCTGCTTTGACATATTGTTCTAATGAGGAATTCTCAGCTACAAACATTCTCAAACTGGACACATTTAATATCTGTTCGCTGGCTATTATGCAGACAATTGTTAACCTTATGATTACTGAGAGTTTGCATATCCCATTATATAATTACTAATTTGACACATCATGGATCATTAGGGAGTTCATTTAGCTATACAATTGTTCATTTGTGCTGTTCCTTTTGTTTCAAGGGTCTGGACTGTATTATATATTTCCAGGGCGATTTTAATAAATAAATAAATAGGGCAGGTAGCTTTCACCTTGCCTGTTCTTTGGGAGGAATATTCTATTCTCCTTGATTGACTGTTCTTTTGTATCTGTTTAAATCGTCATAAATGTGTTTTATAACTAGTTCTAAAATTCAAGAGGGAGAGAGAGAGGAAGGGTTAGATGACATCTATTATTAAAATAACACTACAGGCACCAGTTAAACATTCATGTACATGACATAGTATTCTGATTTTCTTCTTTCTGCATGATGAGAAATGTAAAAATAAATAAACAAATTAAATATAAGAAGCTTTGCTCCACCTCCTGGTCTTTCATGTCCATGAGGGAATGAGAAAGCCTTACAAACGGACCCTAATCCATGAAACCATAAAACCATACGCATGGATTTCTATAAGAAATTTATTGTAGGTAGTTCATGTATGAGAAATTCACCTGTGACTAGCATTCTGATAATTGCGGAATAAAAAAAAAATGACAATTACTCCACAAATGAATAAAAGCCGCTGACATCTTGCATGAGAGCACACTAAATCCAGGCATATGTTCTTCAGTGGGATTTACAGAAGTCAATTGCAGCGGCACTTAAAGGGACAGTACAGATCCTTAAAGCACTGCAGGCAGGGCTGCCATCAGAAATTTTGGGGCCCTCCAATTTCCTTCTTCTCCCCCCTCTCCAATTTCCTTCTTCTCCCCCCTCCCCCTCTCCAATTTACTAACACACACAAACTCTAACACACACACACACTTTAAAAAAAAAAAAATTTTCATCCCCCCAGCCTCCCTACCTGTGGGAGTGCTGAGGGGACTCCCTGGGGTCCAGTGGTGTCACCCGGCGGCCGGGCTGGCGGGAGCGCGAGGGAGCACTCTCCCTGGCTGAGTGCTTCCTCTTCAGCTCCCTCGCGCGCCGCGTACTGATGCCGGAGCCGGAAGATGATGTCATCCTCCTGCTCCGGCATCAGTGTAGTGCGCGAGGGAGCTGAAGAGGAAGCACTCAGGGGACAGTGCTCCCTCGCGCGCCCGCCGGGTGACACCAGGGCCAGCCTCGGGGGGCCCTGAGGTGACCGGCTGCTGGGCCCCCCAGGAGAAGAGGCTGGCCACAGTGGGTACATACCGGGTCGCAGGGCAGCCGGGCCCCCTGCAACCCAGGTATGTACGCCACTGAATGTGGGGCCTGGGACGACCTGAGCAGTCCGGGCCCCCCAGGACCGCCAGGCCCATGACAACCGTTATGGTTGTCACCCCCTGATGGTGGCCCTGACTGCAGGTTGTTTAAGTACTTTTTGTGTGAAGAGTTTGTCCTCTATTTTCATTTTACAAAAAGTGCAGATTTCCATTGACACTTTTATAAATGGACCTTCTTACTCCCCCCAGCTGTCAGACAGCAAGCCCTGTTACTTCCTGTGGAGCTAAAGTGAAGAGGCAGCAATTGCCCAAAGCACCTGTCTTCCAAATACATCTCATTAAGCTGCATTGGGAAGTCTGTGTTTGGACAGCCACAGAAAGTCTTGACTGGGTTAGAAGACGGCTAAGATTTCAAGAGATCTGAAGTTTTTGCAAGCTGTTCTTAGATATACCACAAACAAAAAATAATGCACAATAAATGCATACATGGTTTAATTGGGTGTATGTGTACTAAACAGTGATTTAAAAAACATAAAACCTTGGGCAGTGGACTTTCCCTTTAACCCAGCATCCTACACAGGTCCTTCAACTGATTGCTGCATATTATGGGATACAGCTTGCTAACTGCCAAATCCCCTAAAGTTCTACACAGAACTCCCAGCAGCTCGGATTATAATGATCATTGAGAGCCCCCCCTACTTCAAGGAACACTATAGGTTCAGGAACACAAACATATATTCTTGACTCTATAGTGTTAAAAACACTATCTAGACCCATGCCTCCCATTTGCCCCTTAAATATAGTAAAATCTTACCTTTATTCCAGTCTGCTGGTGCTGGCTCTGCCGTGATCTGCCTCCATGACTGACATCATCAGAAGTGGTGATCTCAGCCAATCACAATGAATTTCCCATAGGAAAGCATTGGCATGGCTGAGATTGTTAAGGGGCAGATCGGGGCAGAGCCAACACACGCCGAACACAGCCCTGGCCAATCAGCATTTCCTCGTAGAGATGCATTGAGTCAATGCATCTCTATGAAGAAAGTTCTGTGTCTCCATACAGAGGATGGATACACTGAATGTCAGGAAGCACCTCTAGTAGCCATCTGAGAAGTGGCCAGTGGTGGTATCCCTAGGCTGTAATATAAACATTGCCCTTTCTCTGCAAAAAACTTACTATACTTACCAGAACAACTACATTAAGCTGTAGTTGTTCTGGTAACTATAGTGTCCCTTTAACTTCAGTGTTTGTGTTCGTGTCTGTGTGTGTACGTGTCTATATGACTATATGTGTGTGGGCCTGTATGACTGTGTTTGTATGAGTGTATGAAGGAGTGTGTGTGAATGACTTTGTATATGTATCTCTGCATGAATATGTGTCTGTATGAGAGTCTTATGTTTGTGTAACTATATGTCTGTATGACTCTGTGGGGGTATTTAAGTGTTTTGAAAAACCTGTTTTGCCACTTAAATATATAACTTTTTTTATAACTAGCTTGCAAAAGAAGCAACAGATTAGAAAACCCCATTCCTCAATTAACAATTTTTTTATTCTTATTAACACCCCCCACAAGTACACTTAGCCAAACAGAATCAGTCAACCCCCAACTCATCTCATTTAGCAAAAACCACACAATAACATTTAGCCAATCCACACACAATCACACTCAACTAACCACACATACATTCATGTGCATCACACTCATCAACCCCTACACACTCAGCTGAACACACACATTTCATACATATCACATTCAAATATACAGGAGCTCTGTGATATATTCATGTACTCTGCACACTCACTGTGATACACTTAAAGGAACACTTTAGTGTTAGGAATACAAAGATGGAATCCTAACACGTTGTACCTTAGCCCCTGCGGTCCCCACCACAGCAATGTAAAATGGTTAAATAACCTTTTATTCACTTACAATATTCCACTGCTAATGTCCCTTGCTGGGTTGCCCTCTGCCTCCTCCGTCATCAGCCGATGTTGGACCTAATGCGCATGCGTCGCGAGCTCTGCACACGCATTAGACCTTCCCCATAGGAAAGCATTGCCTCAAACTCTGTCAAACTCTATGAAACTCTTTGAAGTGCCTCTAACGGCTGTCTGGGAGAGGCAGTCTTAGTACTGCAATGTAAACATTGAAGTTTCTCTAAACCTGCAATGGTTTACATTGCAGGACTAATGGGGACAGGGGACTGCACCCAGTCCACTTTAACAAGATGAAGTGGTCTGGATGCTTATAGTGTCCCTTTAAGCCCTGTACGGTTGCATTGCTGAGGAGCTCTGTGATACTCCTACACACTGCATTACTGTGAGTTTTGTTGCTGTGGAGTGCTGAAGCATAACCATTACGAACCACAGTAGATATAAAGTGTAAATTTCTTACAAACTTTGATAAGCTAAGCAAGTAAAATTGTTGCCACATTAAAGATACATTGATACATAGATATCATAAAGCTAAGCAGTAGTGAACTGCATACACAGTTTACACTCCACAACTGATATACAAACTATTTAAAATAAAATACAAAATCAAGTTTAGTGTGTCTGTCAGTTAGTGTGTTTTAAAGCACTGAGAGTATGTGTCTGTTAGTGAGGGTGTCTGTCAGTGTGCATCTGTCAGTGACTGTGTTTCAAATCAGTGAAACTGCATGTCTGTCATTAAAAATGTATATGCTCCCTTGATAAAGGCATTTTTGCCGAAACGTTGGGAGTGTTTTTGTGACTGACTCTGTCCCTGCTTCTCACCTGGTCTGGTATGCTTATTGTTATATATATTTTTTTGTATATGTATGTCTATGTTTGTGGGGTTGGATTAGACTGTTATTTCATTTTTCTATTTTTGTATATTGAGACTCTGTTATTCATATAAGACGCTTTTGGCGTACATACATATATATTCAGAATTTTTCTGATTATTGCTGTATAGCGCGACATGATCCTATATTTTGGATCTTTATGTTATATGATATTTTTATAGAGTATACCCACTTAATAAAGATTGTTTTATTACTATTGATGGTTGTGATCCTTACTCCATTGTTATTTATATGTATTTGGGCTTTTGGGGATAAAGCCTTATGTGAGTGAGCACCCCATATTGTATTTTCATAGAGCTTCACTTGGGAGCTTGCATATATTTCATATTGAGTGTGCCTACCTTATTTAATTTTTAATTAAAAATGTATATGTCAGTGTATCTGTAAGTGAGGGTGTGTATGTGTGTGTCTGTCTGTTAGTGAGTGTGTCTGTAAGTGAAAGTGTGTGTCTGCCAGTGTGTATGTGTGTGTCTGTCAGTTAGTGATTCAGATCAGTGAGATTGTGTGTCTGCCAACGAGTGCTTCTGTCAGTGAGTGTGTTTCAAATCAGTATGATTGTGTGTGTGTGTAACGGATCCCCTATACTCCGACTGAGTATATCCCTTGTACAGTGCCGATGCAATGATTTCTGCCGCCCTAGGCAAAGATCCATTTTGTCGCCCCCACATGTCACTCTCTCACTGACAGACACACACTGGCAGGCACACTCACTCAGTGACAGACACACACAGAAACTCACTCACCGACAGACATAC